TAGCATGCCTGATCGCTGCCCTGATCACAGGGTTAAATGGAACAGCCGGCAGTCAATGTGGATGGCTCACCTATTCCCCAGGCCATAAACACAACCAGATATTTCAGGCTAAATATAATATATACAGCTTATTCCATAGACACCTCTGATGGGACCAGTCATGGAGGCACACTGAGTAACCAGCTGCGATTTCTGCAGGAGCTTCAGAACTGCTCCAATCACACTGAAGTCATGCAGAGTCTGAAGACCTGCGACAACAGCTTCTCTGATTTACACTGCGAGTTTGATATAGAGTGAAATGATAGAACTGATGAATTGCATAATGGATCTGAGGGTCAGTTAATGGGGTCTACCCAGACAACGTCGTCACTGTTACCCATACTGGTTCAGCTGGTTCAGTGCCGCGAGAAGACTTTGAAGACGATGCATGCCCGCCAGCTCACTGTACTGATGTGCAGCTTGCCACTGCACACCATGCCTCACGCCTTCTGTCATTTCACATCCACGTGCTCTAACCACATCGCGTCACCCACATTACTGCACTTTCACATCCTAATGCTGATCTCACTATATCAAACAACATCCCCACGCCTTGACCATCTGTTTTTTTCTCCTTCACTGGAAACCATATGCGTGAAAGCCAGCAGAGGGCGGAGTATAGTCTGAGTAGCTAGAGCATTCAACTAGTTGTTTATGTTCTTCTAGCCGAGGCTGGACTTCATTACATGTGACTTAACTGGGCTGAATTCCACAAGACAGGCCAGAATTAGACCATACCTTTGAATCAAAAGGAAAATAAAATCAAATCAATCAATGATCTGTACTGGTCAACATTTGGCTGGACTTAAATTTAATAAAAGGAGTCAGGACCAGAGTGCATTGGGATGTAATGCACTGAATAGTAAAATTGCAGCTGTAACCACTGCAGGATTGCAGATATAAATCCAGCCCCAGTACAGTCTTTATGGGGTTTGCCAGTCTGAGTGGGGTCCTTCCCGGGGAAGTACAGCTTAGGCTGATCATTAAGAGCTTTCAGAAATCTGGCTTGCGGCCTAGCAGAGTCCCTGGCTTATTCTGATGTCTGTGCCCTGGGAGACAGCATTCATTGTCGCATCATCAAATCGGTGGCCTGTAGGCTGACCTCGGGAAAGATGCTCTGGGCCTCGGTCTCGAACCCGGGTGTCTCACAGCCGCTGGGGACATCCAGACCCCCCAAATAAGCCAGATATGAGCAGCCAATGGATGGATGAATCAATTAATCTGACTGATTAACCTCTATCTTTGTTTAACCCTTAAAACATACTTTAATGTTTAATGCCTCTGTAACATATGCTTAAATTACTTAAAATAACTTCAGTAACGTTATTGTGCATTAAATTTCATGTATCTAAAGTATTAATATTTATATTAGTAAACAGCATTAATAACTTCTTCAGTTTTTCTCACTGGCCCCTTGACACTGCATTGCACTGTACATACTATCCACTGTCATAATGTCTCCACCCTCTACACAGCTCATATACTCATATACCTGTGCTGGCAGTCCCCAGGTTAAGAACGTCCAACTTACAGACAACTCGTACTTATGATCGGACTGCCCTGACGCCTATTATATTACCAATTTGGGTTAAACACAATGGTTTGTAGTAACGAATGCATGCACTGCTTTGTGGTAAAAAAAACTTAATATAGACTAAGACAAACTTACTGACGCTAAAGGAGAACCATATCTATCTGTCTATCTGTCTAGATTCTGTTGTGCATGTATTTACGTGTGTGTGTGTATGTGTGTAAAAGACTCCTGCATAGTTGTATATTTGAGTATTTTTTGCATTTCCTGTATAACGAAGTAAGATTCCGTGTACATTCTGATTGTTTCCAACCAAGTTTAGAGTCACACGCTCACATTATTTGTTTGTTTGTTTATTTGTTTGTGCATTCTAGACTGTTCCATGACTGGCGGTGCTTGTCACAGGGAAGTCACCGTGAAGCCCCACCCGTGCAGCCCCACCCGTGCAGCCCCACCCGTGCAGCCACTGTCATACACAGGTACCAAGCAGTCCATTTCCCCCGTCTCCAGACTTACAGACTGGAACTCGCTTGCGCCCCCTGGCTGCACGGGAATGCACATGCTCAGTAACCCATTATGTGTGAAATGACACGGTATGCCAGGTGAGCAGGTCTGCGTAGAGAACTGCAGGTTTATTCTTCACTGCCTTTCTGTATTTTCCACAGCAAAATGGGAAAACAAATAGCATGTGGGGAAAAGCGATGGATCATTAGGCTGAACCTGAAGAGATGAATTCCACAGCGGATCATCATAAAGGAAGCACTTCGGGGGGGGGGGATGCTACTCCCCAGCAGGAATGACAACATTACAGAGTAGTGCATGGGGGACAGGTCATACAGGTAAGCTTAGCTTCTGTACTGGTGTGTCTGACAGGGCCGTGAGTACAGACGTACACGTGGAACAGTCTATCTGTCAGTGCCTTAATATTTGTGTGAGTGCCTAGCTATTTATTCTGTGTGTGTTTCTGTGCTGGTGTTGGTTTACATGCGTGTGTGTTTCATTACCATGCTTTTGCATGTATGCGCGTGTGTGTGTGTGTGTGTGTGTGTGTGCGCGCACGTGCGCACTACAGCTTCTATGACACTATCACGCATATGCAAATTCAGATACGGCTGTTAAGTCTGACAGCTCATTTCCAGGGCAAGATGCTGATAAAATGCCTTTATTTGCCATTACTGTAGAACTGGTTCCTCGACGATTAGCATCTCTGCTTACAATACAATATGGAAGCATGCAAGAATAATCTGTTACTATTAGAAGAAACTAAGCGAAAATTATATTTGATAAGGCATAGTCACGTGACCTTCGAGGGAGCTTAGCGTGTTCTTGGGTTTACTGGAGGCCTTGACGTTAACTGTAAATGACACACACACGTGTAGGAGACCAATCCAAAATTCCTGTAACGTTCCAGCCTCGCACGGAACGGTTTCCCTTCCGTATTTTGCCAGCTTACATAATAATAAGCTCCGACTATAACTGTCAGCAAGAGGCTGGAACTTAATTAACCTGTGAAGAAGCCCAATGAAAAGAAAAAAAAAAACACAGAACAAAAAATTGCTGATCCCAATGCAAAAAAACACCTCTCTGTACCACTGAAGTGAAGTAAGGAAGCCAAATTAAATGGGGAAAAAATGGAAGATGTACGTCTTTATTTTTCTATAAGTGTATTGAAGAGCTTTTGATTTCTGAGGGCCTTTGGAGGCTCATGTCTGATCAGACCTGATAAGGCTCTTTGAGGAGGTGAGTTCCTCAGGGGTATCTATCACCCCCTGGGGAGACCTGCCTTCTTAGCTTGGGGAGGGCTTGTCTGTCTGCTAAGGAGTGATGGAGGGCCACGGGCACTGTGCCGAGACGTCTGCACGGAAGGCTGCGGCAGCGCAGATGCACACACGCTCGCACAGGCAGACACCGACACAAGCACGCTCATAAAGACGCACGCCAACTCAAACACCCTCACTCTGTAGACACCTAAGGGTTTCTCAGAAGGTTTTCCATGACTGATGAGGCCACTTTACACACAACCGGCAACGCTGCCCCTAACCCTAACTCTAGGCACAACCAAAATTGCAACCCTCACCATCTATCTCTAATCCTAACGGCAACCATAAGCTTAAATCCAACCCCAACAGCAACCCTAACCCAAATGTTAACTCCAACCCTAAGTCCAACCCTAATAGTAGTGATTTGCAGAGCGTGATAGAGCAGTGTTCTCCTGGTTCTTCATTGGGTTAGGATGCTGTCACAGTGATCAGAAAGTCACCGGTTCAGAACCCTGGGTCGGCAGACTAATGTCACCGTTGAGCCCCTGAGCGAGGCCCCTAACTCCCAATTCCTCCCAAGACTGGTTGACCCTGCTTCCTCAACTGGATAAATCAGCCCACTGAATATATAAGACCTGTAGCAGGATTCCAGTTTTATACAAAGTTGCTTATCTATGGATTGTTTATACCAACAATGTTCAGCCTACGGCGGCTCCATCACCTGTGGAACATCGACATAAATGTCACATTGCAGGTTCAGCACCAGGACGGAGTCTGCAAAGGGTCAAAAACACGAACAGACAGAATCGACTGAGCCTGTGAAGAGGGGCATGGATGACAGCACAGACGCACACAGGAAGCCTCTTTCATGTCTAAGTGGATTTTTATATTTTATTTTATTTATTTATTTATTTGATTAAACCATATCGGACGTATTTGTCAAAGCATACTTTTGTGTGAATGTGTTATGGTGTTATGATGACCATATGGTGTGGTGGAACAGGATTTTATGGTTAATGTATTCAGGAAGTGTCTGTCTGGAAAGTTTAACGTTCGATTTTTAAATTGAGTATCACAACGTTTTTTAATAGCTAAAAACACACACACACAAACGAAGTATGCGGTTAAGATAAACACAGAGGCAGGAAGAGGTCTGTGTGTTTAGCCGGAATCGCATCAATGAGGAAAAGTCAGACAAAATTCAAAAGCAGAGATAGTACATTCTGTGAAGGTCATTAAACTATTCTGAAGTCTCTGAATTGGTACAGATGGTCTAAAAACCTCTCTCACAAAACTGCACTGAAAATACGCACAATGTTTAGGTTGCTGCAAAGAATGTAATGTAAACTAACCTAAACAATGTAACACAATAGCAGGTTTCAGTTATTATAACTAAATACTGTATGTATTTATGTATATCTATACATACTGTACATGCAGCATCCACACAGTGATGAATGCCCTGTTCAAAATGACTTCACATCACATAAAAAAAGTTTGCAAAAAAGTATGT